AATCAATTACAATTACTTACAGACTGAGCTCTATACAAAGCCATACGTTGATTATTCCCATAAGCTAATCTCCACTTCATTATACGTTACTGAGATTTTGTACAACCCCGTAATTTGTACTACTTTATTCAAATGTCAGAGTGGTAGACACTATAATGGAGTTTTACCGACGTTTAGTCGATCGCACGCTATGGTTCAGTTTTAGCTTAAGTAATTTATTAGCATCTGTTCGAGATAATATCTGATTAAATGATAATGGATAATGAATACATCCACTACTCATAAGTTTTGTGAATAAATTATTATTGGTCTAGTTCATATTCGGAACTGTTTATAATGTTTGAATTGGGGAATTTAGTGTTGTAAATAGCATGTTTAATGATAGCCTTATGGCGTGGGACTTACGACTTCCAACTGGTGTTCTAGTATCCACATTTCTGTGTTAATGCTTTGTTAGTAGACAGATATTCTAATGCTGTTCAGGTAAACTAAAAAGTATAGAGTATGCAAATGGAAATTCCAGGAAGGGTTGTAGCAAGATGGTAGCCGAACCTCATCTTACCAAGTATAAAAAAAATAACGACTTTATTATATTTTATAACAATGAAGTCAAAATATAGAGGTATGAATAAATTCATAGCCATTCTGAATACAACAGAGCACTATGAAAATTAGAAAACCCAATAACCCCCTTTGAGTACCGTCATTATAGACACCATTAAAGAACAATAGGTTGCGGTCACCGGTGTCCTCGCGGTGTTTGACAGTTTAACACTTGAATTTGTGACCAGGGTATCTTGTGTAAAACCAATCCTTAATACAATGATTAGGATTAAAAATATTTTAGAACACCAGTTCTATTTACCAGAATGAAATAGACAACTAAGCACCATTACCTACATCAGCCGTACCGTCAAGCCTTGGTGCCGTAGCACTTAAGGAGTCAATCTTCTACGTACCTTTCAAGTAGTCAGTACTTGAAAGCTTGTTAAGGGAACTAGAGCAATTTAGTGTAATAAGAGCATGCGTCTAATTCATACATGTATGTACTAAGTCAGTATGAAGAAAGCTTGCGCAAGGAACTCCAACAACTTGCAATGTTACAGTGTGGTATCGATTTCAGAACTCGTTTGTTATGGACATATTAAATTGTTATATAATAATATTTTCCTATGACTAGAGAATGTAAAATTTATATAATATTACACCTGTTGTTTCGTGAAGGGATCGGTAGAGGTCATATATGTATGTTGACATTGTCTTCAGGTGTCTTTGGGGCTAGGCCGAGAGCAATGCATTCATCGTTTCTCAAAATCTGAAATTATATCCAATTTTTGATTATTGTTGTTGCTCATTGAAAGTTTTTCAAAAATCTTTATTCATATTTGACCTAGACCTCTATCTCTGTTTATTTAAAACAATTAAAAAGTTATTACCGAAACTTAAATTCCAATAACAGCGAATTTTATTTACATCCTGTGTAATAAAATAAAAAAAAATATTGTACAGTCCCATTAGCGGTTAAGGTTACTGAAATTGCTTTGTGATGAAATCGGTACTACTTACAATATGAAAAATAATAATTTATTATGTCCACTTAATAAATTTATATCCTGTTGGCGATGGTTAATCGATTATCAATTATCGATTGCTAATTCGATGCCTATAGTGCGAGTCATTTGGAAATCCGAGTATATCGAGTATGGTGTAATGGAATGAACTGATGGCTGATAACAAGGATCTCTGGTATCTGGCGTCAGATCTGGCGTGCTTCGACTTGACGGTTGAGTAACTGTATCTATACAATCTGCTGTGTCCCACATTTAAGTATGTTTATTTGATCTACATCAAGGGTAATCGCAAAGGTAACCTAAGATAGTGGACGGGTAAATACCATAATGCTGCTGATCTTAAACTCTTCCTTTTAAAGCCCCATTGTGGAAAGGTCTACTAGTTTCAAGTCACAGAGGGACTCTTCTTCATGACTTGAAACTAATACTTGACTGCACGGTTGGCGCGGTGGTCGGGCAACTGGCTGCTGCGCAACGTGTCGCGGATTCCATTCCCTAGTGCGGGGCAAAATTTTATTTAAAAAAGGAAAAATATTTTCTCAATCATTTACTGAGTAAATCGGAATTTTAAATTAAATCAATGTGGTACACAAATTGATGTTTAAACGTATCCAAAGTAGAGTGATTTTCATAAATGTTCATATGCGTAAACAATTGCTATTGTTAACATACATTCTGCTTGTTAGAGAGAGACCCCATTACTATACATCATCCGCACCTCCCATTTATAACAGAAAAGCTCACAACTAATAGAACATTTGAACTGATACAAGCAATGATAACAAATATTGTTCGGATCATAAAACACATTATTGTTGTTAGCGGCCTAAGTTCTGCACGATCTTTACATACATTACTTTGAATATCCATTCACTTAGTCGGCACCATGTTTTAATTAAATATAATATTTTATATTAGCTTTATAACGTAACTAACACCTGACTTTATATTTGAAGGAATACTATTATTATTACTTGAAGGAAAATATAGAGGTGCATAGAGTAAATGTAACAATGAATAAAAGTAAAATAACATATTATAATGTCACGCCTTTTATCCCCGAAGGGGGCCAGTGGTGCACATTACGACACTTAGTGCCACTATAAAATGTGACACCCACTTTTCACTTTTTTGTTATGAGTTCCATGTAATAGGGGGTGAGTCTATAAAGTAAAATAAATGTCAGATATTGCCAATGAGGGTCGGGCAGCAGCATCCTAAATATGTATTTTCCACTTAAAGGGGATACTTTTGTTCAGTAGGAATGTCTTCCAGCTGATGATGATGACGATGACGAGAAGTTCTATTGACATTCGTAAATTGCAATTCCAAGTTCGGTCGATGACTCAGTATAACTAAAATCCAAAACATTATAAAGTCCGACATGGGTACCGTTGATATCTCCTTATTCGGCACTAGATCAATTCAATGTTGTAACTTCTGCAACTTATTCATAACTGAATTATTTAAAAGAATTATAAGTATGTAGTTATGATATGATAGCTGTATATCATATGTTACTAACGCCTGCATAACTAACACTTTGTTTTGTTCATTTAAAATGTTAAGTTGAAGCACGCGACCAGGTATGCAGCTGTGGTATAAAATTGTTAAATTGTAAATGCAGTCAATTTGTTACTTTTTGTGAGTTATGAATCGCTTATTGCGAGACACGGTTACTATCATAAAAATAGCTTAAATAAATTGGTATGTTTTATTAGGGAAGCTAAGTCACGGTATGTTCTATATGCTTATAGGCCTGAGATTTCATAGTCATGTTTAATAGCTACAATTATTATTGTAGTCAATTGGACCAACGAGGCCGGCGTGGAAGTGGCCATTCATACAATTTAGAGGTACAATAGCTAAATGCACACAAATTGGCTTCCAAAATAAACTTAACCAGAATGACTTTTGAACTATATAATGAATGTAACTACATGTGTAAATGAAGACTGTTGTTCGCAAGAGGTCAGGAATATGATCGATTGTATCTCGTTCACGACTCGAGCAACGAAACAGTAGTACCTAGAGACATGTGTCGACAATACATTGCTTAGACACACGTGCGTGTCAAACACGTGCAAACAATGGCACTTGTAAAGTATTTGTTAAATTGTCTTAGATTATTTATGTATTATAATTTGATGTATTTTATTGATATTTGTAAGTCACTGTGTAATATGTTTAGAGTATAAATAGGTATGCCAATAATCAATTTTCCTTCACTTTTAGGCAATAAATCCATCTTCTTTTATGTGAGACTTATTATTTAAAAAATGTGTGACGTATGACTGCCTCGTTGACCGAGTGTTTGCAAATGCGACTGCCGGGCAAGGGGTCTTGGGTTTGATTCCCGGGTCGGGCAAAGTATTGCTGGGTTTTTAAAAATTTCAGTAGTAGCACGGAGTCTGGAAATGTGCCCGGTATATGGCAATAAGCTCACCCCCTATTACATGGGACTTAGAACATAAATAGTGAAAAGTGGGTGTTACATTGTACAGTGGCATTAAGTGCTGTAATGTGCACCTCTGCCAGCCCTTCGGGGATAAAAAGGCGTGATGTTATGTTGTGTATGTGAGACGTATAACTGGTACAGTATTCAACCTTAGTAGAATGGTTTTAATCCCTATGTAGGATAATAATATTAATATCAATACATTTTAGACAATATAGATTTAAATTGTCATACGATGAAATGGTTTTATAACAGTTGCAGAGTAATTGTACACCCATCATCCACTTTTCAAATGTATAAACATACTAGCAACAAAAACTTCATGAAATATTATACCGGAGATTACGGAACAGAAAAAACTATTCTCAAACTGAGAAACTTGTGCTTAGAATTCACTTTAACATAGAAAAACCTTAGTCCGTCAGTAAATTGATTTAATTCATTAATCTGCTTCTGAAGTTTCATTGTGAAGTAGTATAATAATATAATCCTTATTTGTTAACAAAGGTATTTAATCACCTGTCAGTCATATGAGTTCTGACCCAGAGCAAATGCTTTTGATGACTCATAATAAGTAATCATGGCTGGAGTACTCGTGCGGGCGTTGTAATATGAGTTGTTAATGTAGCGCTGCGAATCGTAAAGTAATTGCATTAGTTTGTAGTACCACGTGGGATTAACAATGATTATCTTCTTATATATATAAAATTCAAAGGTGATTGACTGACTGACTGACTGACTGACTGACTGACATAGTGATCTATCAACGCACAGCCCAAACCGCTGGACAGATTGGGCTAAAATTTGGCATACAGATAGATGTTATGACGTAGGCATCCGCTAAGAAAGGATTTTGATAATTTCCACCCCCAAGGGGGTAAAAAAGAGGATGAAAGTTTGTATGAAACTTTGTCAGTTTTTAACTGATTGGGTTGAAATTTGGCATGCAGATAGATGTTATGACGTAAGCATCCGCTGTGAAAGGATTTTGATAATTTCCACCCCCAAGGGGGTAAAATAGGGGATGAAAGTTTGTATGAGGCTTTGTCAGTTTTAAACCGATCGGGTAGTAATTTGGCATGCAGATAGATGTTATGACGTAAGCATCCGATGTGAAAGGATTTTGATAATTTCCACCCCCAATGGGGTTAAAATAGGTGATGAAAGTTTGTATGATACTTTTTCAGTTTTAAACCGATCCGGTTGAAATTTGGCATGCAGATAGATGTTATGACGTAAGCATCCGCTTTGAAAGAATTTTGATAATTTCCACCCCCAAGGGGGTAAAATAGGGGATGAAAGTTTGTATGAGACTTTGTCGGTTTTAAACCGATCGGGTTGAAATTTGGCATGCAGATAGATGTTATGACGTAAGCATCCGCTTTGAAAGGATTTTGATAATTTCCACCCCCAAGAGGGTAAAATAGGGGATGAAAGTTTGTATGATACTTTGCCAGTTTTAAATTGATCAGGCTGAGACTTTGCATGCATAAAGTTACTATGACATAGGTATCTCTTTAGAAAGGATTTTGATAAATTCCACCCATAAGGGGATAAAATAGGGAATGAGAGTTTGTATAAATCTTCTTAGCCGTTGAATTTAGAATCATTGAATCTTTTTGAATTACATTCGGTAAAACGATGATTTAGGACCTGGGTAACGTATGATAGTTTTTTCACAGATGTCTCACGAGAACGGGAACTATGCGTCAATGCCCCAGGACTCTCTTACTCTTAACCACTGAACTATTCTAGAGAGATTCGGTACAACAATAGTCGATAGAATAGTTTTTATTACTCAAACCTTACGTGATCGGGCACTGTACTGGTAAGATCCCTGCGGGATTATTTATTTATTGAAACTACGATAAATCATTTCAAAATAGGTAAATCTTACTTGGGCACTGATTTGATTCTGGTTAATTCTGTCAGAAGTCATTAATCTACGCGGACGAAGTCGCGGGCAACATATTATTATATTTCTTTTTTTTTATCTGCTTCGTTGGCCGAGTGGTCGCAAGTGCGAATGCCGGGCAAGGGGTCTTGGGTTCGATTCCCAGGTCGGGCAAAGTATTACTGGGTTTTTAAAAAATTCTCAGTAGTAGCACGGAGTCTGGAATTGTGCCCGGTATATGGTAATAGGCTAACCCCCTATTACATGGGACTCATAACATAAATAGTGAAAAGTGGGTGTTACATTTTACAGTGGCATAATGTGCACTTCTGCCTACCCCTTCGGGGATAAAAGGCGTGATGTTATGTTATGTTTATCTTATATTCCTGTTATATTTATTTTATAAACGTTAATTGATTCGTTAATTTCAAGGTTGTAATCTCATCTCTCGAAAATAATAGTGTCGTTTTTTTCTATCTGCCCCACTAGGTTTGAGAAATCAGACCCAACCATGTATGTACACATTTCAAAACAAACCTCACTTATCTGTAGTCGCCAATGAGAATCTAATCCACCAATCCCACAGACATTGCTAATCTTACCTTCAATACTTTCGTCAACAGATATCCATTCTAGTTCTGAGATAAATACAGATGATAATAAACATTAGCCATTGTGCGGAGCGTTCTACGGCAATGGTATGGTACAATGAGATACAGGATTAAAAAAAACATTGCTATTGTATAATAGCTTATCCGGTTAGGTGACAAGGTCTGTCATATTTATCGCATTTCATTTTCTTTATCTGTGCCACGTTAGGGCTGGCTCAGATTAGGCCAATCGTTTATGCGCGGTGGCTAATCAGTTGTGACGTAATAAAAATGTTTTATTTGTGGGTTAGGGGGCAAATGAGCAGACAGATCACCTGATGAATTGGTCCGTATCTTCTAGAGACACCCGCGATACTTGAGGAATTGCAGGTGCGTTTCTGGTCTTTAGGTATCTCAATGGTCTTAATAAGATTTTAAAACGTATATAATACTGAGGATTCAAATAGAAGTCATCACCAATCACCATCTGAGAGAGCTACAAATAATTTCACACAATCATATTAGTATGAAATATGTAGATATACACATACCAGTACGATAAATCTGTCCAACGACCTTATGTGAACCTAGCTGTTGTTATTTGTTACATGACCATATGAATTATGATGACGTGAATTATATATGGGATAGTAGATATTTAGTTTAGTAAGTAGGTACCTAACATTGGTGAAAGTTTAGCAATCGTATTGCGAAGTAGTCCAACGTTACAGGTGGGTCTTGAACATATTCATAAGAAACATACGAGTCTCAAATGTAAACTATGTCCCAACATAGTATTTAAATTACTGGCTATTTTCCTGACCAATAAACTAAAGCGATGGATGCAAGTAAGCTCGCTACTGCTTGACGGGAATTAGATTGAGCTGAGAGATGTTGTTCGAATTTCAAACGAATTAAAAAATAATTTCCTACGTTTTTAAACACTTGAATAACGCTTTACGAGAGTCTATGTGTAAGTACCAGTAATTTAAGTAGCATTTTTATAGATTGACTTGATACAAATCACGTGCAAGTAATCTGTGATGCTACCTGATTTCGGATCTATTTGAAACTACATCTACCATAATAAAAAAATCTTCGGTATTTAAAAAAAAACCACAATACATGGATCCGGAGTTTGATGAATGCCCAACGAAAATATACACACACGTGTAAATATTTTATAGTAAAATTGGTAATACTACAAATCACGTAATAATTTTAAGCGCCACAAATATCAGTGTCAAAGAAATTAATGACATGACGGAAAGGACTAACGTTTATGAGCGGTCGGTAGATTGGCTCGATTGCCTAGCTGATCTAGATTTAATTGGTCGACTCCGTTGCGTCACCAACCGTAGGTATATTTGCAATTATTGGACAATAATATTTTACATATTACTCGTTACGATTGATCAGACTAAACCGGTTCTGAAGAGCTGTTACGTTTCTTCGATTTATGATATCTTTAATTGATGTATGTAAGTCTGAATTAACGTTACATCAATTGTATTTAATTAAGTCAATCTGATACAATTTATATGCTGTCATAATAAAAGGATTGTAAAAGTATTAAGTCTTGTGTAATTAGAATATTTTAAATTGAATTTAAAAGCATTAAATTACTACAAGTTATTTTTTACTGGTCGCGTGGTAGCGAGCACGAGTGTAGTGTGTCTTGGGTTCAACATCGGGTCAAATAAAAATTGTTTTATTAGTATTTGATTTTCAAAATGCTTAGTATCATAACATAAACTGAACTCTTCTGTTATTTAGGCGATAAGATCGTCGTGGGATCAAAATTATAGGAAAGTGGGTGTGTCGTCAAGGTACAACTTCTACCTACCACATTGAAAATTAAAGGCGTAATGCTACATGCTTTTTATTTTACAGCACAAAGGTTCTTGAGAAACGTTTTATTGCATCGTTTCTGTTCAGAAATGAAGTATAAATGCAGTATACAGAGAAAGGAATGTTCTTTTAAATGTGTTTTTTATTCTCATGATTCAGAGCCTAATAATTGCAAGTCACTTAAATGGCTACAAAATGAGGTGTCCGCATAAGTAAACAGATAATCTGATTTTAAAATCCCACGTATTTGTCGATTTGTAATTTCATCCACATTCTTTTTTTCGGTGTCGCAAGTAGTGATTGTGCGAGACATAATATAATTCAATTTAGACCAATCCGGACAGCAGCATTAATGAACGAGCCAATTAACACCTACAATGACACTTTAGATGCTTTCATAATTAGATTTATGTTTCCTTTTATTCATTTCGATATTGATTTATACTTTGAAGTTTATAGAACTTGATTATGATTATTCTATTATGCTCACGAAGTTTGAATTCGCACGAGGAATTCCGATCTTGAACACAATTTGTAATCACGATTGTGGCAATAGTAACAGGGAGTTGACTTTAAAATTCATTTTTAAAGTTGAAACTTGATTTATCTCAGAATCGATAAAAAGACTAAGAGTCACGTTAATCACTTTAAACTTGAATTGGTTGATTGTAGAAATTAAAACCAATTGGAACAGCCCATGGACACCCACAATACCTGAAAAGTTACAAGGGCGTTACTAGTCTTTGGGGGGTTAAGGATTTGGAAGGAGGAGGGAGACAATTGGGCCTTAAGTAACAACCCTTTGGTAATGCGTAGAGATGTAGCCTCGTTGTGCATTTTCTATCGCTTATACCACGGGGAGTGCTCTGAGGAATTGTTTGACTTCATACCTGCCGCATCTTTTCGCCATCGATCCTCACGACAGGATATGCATCCCCACCATATAGATGGTTGGCAGGCCACAACTGTGCGCTTCTCACGAACTCACTCACTCTTCTGCTTTCTGCCTCGCCCAGCAAAACTGTGGAATGATCTGTCGTCGGCGGTATTTCAGAACTGATACGACCTTTAAACCTTCAAGAAAAGAGCGTATTCCTTTTTAAAAGGCCGGCAACGCATCTGTGGCTCCTCTGGTGTTGCGGGTGTCCATGGGCGGCGCTGATCGCTTACCATCAGGTGATCCGTCTGCTCCTTTGCCTCCTATTCCATAAAAAAAAACCCTTACAGAGCGAAATACGACGTAAATGTTGTTTCACGCCGGATTTCTTTGATCTTTCCAATCGTACCAAAACATTGCTCAGCTACACTAAATCGTCACTAGTCATACCAAAATACCCAAATTCTAATGTATCTATGTATGTACATAATAAATATTACCTAATATTCTATTTAACAATTTATACTGTAAGATTATTTATTGCAAATGAATAAGGAAAGTCGTTTAGCTGATCTTATTTACATTTTGTAAATAGTGCACATAAGTATTTACGTGTCCACTGCATGCATAGATTATGCTATGAGATATGTAGCAGCATTCATGAACCCACCTTAATGCATAAACTTCTGCAACAAATTGGAAACTTAGCCAGTACATTTGTATTAGTATTTCAGTGTAGAGTAAATATTTTATTGATTTGTTCATACGAATAGTCTTTATGTTACTTATAATCCACAATCTATAAGCCATATATTTACATACATAACGTAATGTCTTTCAATCTAAGAGGGTGTAGCCACAGCAGATATAAAATTTAATATTAGTTTTTTTTATTATTATCATATTTGTGGTCCATGAAGTAGGGGTAGACTTATTGAAATATTCCAGACATTTTGAACTATCTTGGAATCGTACAAGACCTCTTACTTTGTAGTTCCTACAGTCTTCGCATTTTACGAAGATCTTCGGAATAAAATCGATTTGAGATCGAACGCCCCCTAGCGAAATTCATATTAAAACTACTAAGAACTGAGTTTATATGCAAGCACACTCTTGTAAAGGTACAGCTGTTCGAAGTGATTGTAACCAAGGTGGCAAGATACTATGCTATGTAGTAGTAACGAGGTCAGTTTATTAATGTTACAATCTTACGGTAGATGTAGCTACTGTCTTCGGTTTTACATTTGGTTTTTAAGTTTGGGTACTTTTACCTAGCGAAAAACGTTTTACTATCTACTTAATTACTTTTTTGGAAATAATAGGTCCGTGTAATTCTCACCTAACTAATACCAATTTGGTGGTCACTCCGAGGGAGCTAAGAGGCACTGGGTTATCTGAACATATCACCACTTACCACAACCACTTACATTTAGTAATTACGACCTAAATTATTAAGGGTCAGTACAAATATGTATGTATAATGGGTACAGAATAGAAGCACATACATATAGCCTCAGCAACCACAACAAAGCAGCCAGCAAAAAACCGAAAAACGAATATCAAATTACAATCAAACAAGAATAGTAATGTTTTACTACATATCTCATTTACGTTTGCATACACTGCTATCAAGTATTTTAATTGACAAGGACCTTTGTCGATGCATACATCCGCCGACAGGCACATTGTTCCATACCCCTTATCAGATGAGATGACCCTATAAAATGCGACTAGGCGAGATCCTTCAATCCACTGCCTTACTTTATTTACGTCTCTAATAGCGGCTCTGCGTTATGAATTTGATTTATTATAAGGCACGTAATTTTTTTATTAAGGCTATTATTTTCGTAATTGATTGATAGGCTGTTGTGTGTTTTAATTTCTAGAGAAATTGGTCTCAAAAAGTGGATGGTCTCCATAACTTTATGCTTACACAATTTGTGTCTTTGCCTAATTTTCTCTCAATGGTTTTTATTTACTTTTTACTGATATTTTTTTTAATTCAGTTGGTGTTGTTGGTGAATGGTTGGTTGTTAGCGAGCGGGACGCCTGTCGCCATGTTGCAGCATGCCACATCTTCGCAAAGCATTGTGTTTCATCAGCTTCAGGCGGCTCCGATAGCACCAGTTACCGGTGAGAATTACACTCTGTTACCTTCTTTATCATTATGTATCTATCTACCATATATCAATTTAAAATAAATGACTAAATGAAATGAAATGAAATAAAATGATGAAGTGAAGTGATATTTATTTTCGCAAATAGGTTACAAAGTAACACTTTTACACGTCAATCTTTAAATTACTAGATGGGGACCGGTATTTCCTAACTGACTAGTCTGAGAAGACACGTCGAAGGAAACTCAGAGGTATATTTATCATAAATATTGTGTTTTTCTTCTAGCACCAACTCCTGTTGTTCCAAGCAATAGTGCTAGTCATGTAAGTATTTAATCGAATGTTAATACTAGTTTTTAGTTAGGTTTCATAAATCAGCCGGAAAATGTTACACTACAGCTAATCAACGCACTGATCGCAGAATTTCGAAACTTAAAATCGTTGCTGTCATTAGCAAATAATTTAGCAAACAATGTACTGATTTTGATTTCACTGTGAATTTAATCTACGTGAATGAAAGTTATTTGAAAAATGTGTTAATAAACTCAGGAAGAACTGGACTGATTGTTTTCTTTGCGTTTTTGCGAGAAGAAAACTGAACATTCAGATGGTCAATATATACTTAATTTATATTTTTTCTCCGTTATTCATGGTGATACCAATATCACATTACAGGCAAAGTACGAGTACAAATATGAAGTGTCGGACCATCAAACGGGGGACAGAAAGAGTCACTGGGAGTCTCGGGATGGTGACAAAGTACGGGGAGTGTATACGTTGTATGAACCTGATGGAGCCCTGCGGACTGTCGAGTACACTGCTGATGCCGTGCACGGGTCAGTAGGCATTAGACATATAAAGTTGTAAGTGTGGGAGAGCCATGCTTTGGCATGAATGGGCTGGTTCGACCGGAGTGATACCACGGCCTCACAGAATACTAACGTGATACAACGTTTGCGTTATGTTTCGTCATGTGAGTGAGGTTACCGAAGGCCCAGTTTCCCTACCCCCTCCCCTCCCAAATCTCCCCAACTAAATCCCCAACAATCCTCAAATTCCCAATCCCCAAAAGACCGGTAACGCACTTGTGTTCTCTCTGGTGTTCCAGGTGTCCATGGGCGGCGCCGATTGTTTACCATCAGGTGATCCGTCTTCTCGTATACCATACAAAAAAGAATATATCTGGGTTAGGCAAAGACTATGGAATACCAACGCTCGAATCTGGTATACTTCTGATTCAATTTACAGCTTCCTTATTTTGTTAGTTTATTACGTATTTTTAATATATTTCTATTAATCACTCTTACAAATAGGTAAATTGCAAAGAATATCCGTTTTATGTAGAATTTCAAGTTATTGATAGTTTACAAGACATAAAACGGATCGCGTGTAAAATTGGAATTAATATTGCAATTAACATTGTCGATATGTAATAAATCATATACATTACTCGTATAATTTATGATTATTAACTTCCAGGTTTAATGCAGTAGTGAGGAGGAATGAACCAAACAATCACTCTCATCTCAGTGCTGGGTACAAACATGAGTCGCCCACTTCTACGCGTGACACTTATGATGAACCCAGTCCAGGGTACACATCTGAAAGAGGCATATTCCCTGGCCAAGGCAGTGCACCAAGACGTCCAGGAAAGGCGAATTCTTTTAACTCAGGTGTTGATTTCAGCGTCGTACATGGACATTCGGATAAATCTTATTAAGTTGTCATTGCCAAGATTTGAAGAGTAATTGTACCAATAGTAAGTAATGCGTTTATTGAAACGTTGTATGGGTCAATGGTATAAGACTATTGAAGCTTGAAGTTATTCTCATAATTTTAACGGTATACGTTTAGTTTTTTTTAATTTTGAGTACAGAATGAATAAAAGACAATATTTTGTAAATAAATAGTTTTTTATTCGTCAGCGCTGGCGTTCTTTGCAAGAAACTTAATGATAAATGGCGGTTACATTTAGTCGAGATCGAAGAGTTCGTATGAGTGGGATAGTCCAGGTTAATGATGATCATGATGACCATGATGATCATGATGATGGCCATGATGGTGGTGGGGGATGATGTGGTGGTGAGCCGTCTTGTGGTGTACGTCGGCTCTGAAACTGTTTTGAAGACACATTAATATAAATATATTTAAAGAACTGTTTAAAGTGTGTAAATAAGTAAAGTAATAAGTTTAAAAATTCATTACATTCTATTGTAAGTTATGTGGGTGTTTAAGCATCAGTTATGGTAAAATTCTGTTCATACGTTTCTCCGTTCTTTCTCGTTTTCTTAAAGTAACATCAATCAAGATGACGTGCCCCTTTTTTCCCAAAACTCCTAGCTTCATTAACTTTTTGGCTGTAGCATCAGTTAATACATACCCGTGGTGGTCATCAGCGGTGTAATGAACAGTGCGCACGTTGCCGTCGGGCTCAACGAGCGAGTAGGAGCCACTCACGTGGCCACCGTCGCGGTGCTCGTTGGCCGATTTGTGGTCACCGGTGTGGTGGTCCTTCACGGAGTACTCGAACTTGTAGGCTGGGTGGTGGTGTTCCTAGATAGCGAGTCATGCAATTATTAATGTGTCAGAACAAAACTCTTTAATCATGAAGAGGTCATCATCCGAATAAACAGGTTGCTCATAGAAGAGCGTGGTCAATCGTCGGCCACACAATCGCTTACACCACGCGAGATGGTGGCGAAACGCCACCTTATTAAGTGTAAAAAACTTATTAAACAATAATATCGTAAGTTATAGTATTATTAAATCTTAATTTAAAAACACTATTTTAGCTACCCAAAAATTTCTTTGGAATTTTTTACATATAAGATTGGTGTTCATTTATAATTATAAAAAAGAAGTACTTACATGATCCCATTGGTGGTGGTCGTTGTGGTGCACATCGTGGTGTCCGTGATGAACCTCGTGATGTCCGTGATGTCCAATATTATGTCCGTGGTGTCCATCGTGGTGGCCGTGGTGTTCATGGACGTGGTGAATCGGGTGATGGATCTTGTGCTCATGGTGAACGTCATGACCGTGTCCATGTCCATGATCGACACGTGACTGGTGGGACACCGCTGCTGAATGCGCATGCGCACTCACAGCTAGCAGACAAAGGGCGGCCACCTGACGGAATACAACGTTACACTGCTTGTAATGCTCGTAGAACGAATATTCATTTATGTTAATGCAACAACTCATGTATGTAAACCATCCTTCCGAGAATGTTACTTTTAAATGGTGTAATCCGATATAGGAATACAATTGTTATCATTTCAACACTTGACTTTGATTTACAGACAGACAGGTAAACTATTAATACTAAATGATATTTGTTTTAAAAAATTACGATTCGAGTGATAAAATTTTTATTGGTGCAATCAATTTACTTCAATGAATAAACAATATGTTCAAATAATTATTTTTTTATGAAAGAATTAATCAGACAAATAACTCACTTGTAAAAACATGTTTTGTAATGTTTTCTTGTCAGCTGGACTTCAACTATGTAAAAATCGCGTTTCGTCCACCTTATATTCAGAGTTCGTGTGTCGATTTGGGGGTGCGATTCAATTATAACGACATTGCGTAGGATTCTTGGCAATTATTTGAAAAATAATCGAGCATAATACGTGAAACCGAAGTTTCTTTTGCGAATATGAAGGGCACCACGATCCATTGAACTTATTAATTGGCTAATCCGTCCATATAACACGCCAGTAATTATTTAAAGTGCAGATAATTAACACGCGAGCGACGAAGGAAGAACGTCACAGGTACAAATGAGATTTTTCTAATCACTCCTTATAAAGCCGTGGCACAGCAATAAAGTTTCTTTGCTTATATTAGCGTAGTGAGATAGACGTCATTCTATAATAACTTCAATTAATTCATCTCAATTAATCAGTTAGTCTGTCATGTTATAGTTTGAATTAATTACCAACGTAATGTAATTTTATGAATGGGTTCTAAATAAAAATGCGTGTTGCCAGTAGTTAGTAGATGGTGATTTAATTTAGTAATTTAATCATGTAGGCGGTTCTATAAAAGGAAAGACACGTGTTTACTGAACCGAGTTGTTCTGGATGCTTTAAAATATAATTTTTGTCATCAACTCATCCATATCCTGAATTAAAAAAATACTCTTTCAGTGCTCGGATTATACTCCCTGAGATATCCACTTTTGCCTTTCCACGACTGGTAGGTACCTTGTCTTGACTATGCGTCGTTGATTGGTTTTTAGTGAAGGCCCAGGCTGCACGAGCCTTCCAAGCTATTTTGATTTTAAAAATTCTCTGTCAAACACACGTCCGGAAATATGTTTCTATAACATAAGATATTGGCTGATGAAAAATGAGTGTTATGATGTTCACCTCTGTCTATCCCATCGGGGAATAAATGAGTAACATATATATACATACATAACTTTACGTCTGTCTCCCATGGGGGTAGGCAGAGACTAGAGATCGCCAATTATTACGATTCCTACATACCTCTTTTGCTTCATCAACAATCATCAATCTTTTCATGCATGCTCGTCGGTTAAGGGTACTTTTAATTTGGCCCTTCTTTAATTTATCGCTAATCTTGTCAGTATATTTCGTCTAGGGCGCCCTCTACCGACGGCCCCATTATGTTGATAACGCAGTGTATACGTATTAGGCTTTTACATCAATACAACTGAAAATCTATTCTATAGCAGAAAATGGACCCAGAATTCCAACAGCTACGTTTTCTTCAACTAGGCTAACTAAACAGATTTCTGAGTGTAACTAATATATTTCTGTGTTTGTGTAATGATTGCTATTAAGTCTGTAATATTTAAAGATAACTATAGGCTTATAATAATTGTTTTTCATATATTTGATGGGCCGAAGTTTGACGTCAGGAAATACAGATTCTGGCAAAGAATTCAACTTATAATACTTTGTTTTGCTTCTATGAGTACTTGTAAGTTATGTTATAATCATCAGTATTGACATATCGTGGTAGTACACACTGGACTATGGGAGCCTCGTTTACATAAGAAGGTTTGCCGCAATCTCCAGTTTCCACGCTAGCTGAGGAGTACAGTTCAAAAGGTTTGCCAAAAGAGCGCCGGATCTCTGCCAGATTTGTAGTTACTTAGTAGTCTTTAACAACACCCGGGGCATAAGTAAGGGTGTTGACAAATATATTTTACTCTGCCGACACCATATGGCTTCCACAATAATAATTATATGATTTAGATATTTAGGTTAACATGTCTTTCCTCTTTCCTAAATAACTTATTTTGATGTGCCGGTCACTTTAGTATAAATAAATACTTTGAAAATCAAAGAATCACACCACACATTCGCTAGTCCCCCATGTAATGGCAATATTGTCAACAAATGGCACGTCAATGACGTAACGCCTGAAATAATAAGGACAGAAACACTGTGTTCTATTTCTACGTTCAAAGTTTATCATTGTATTAAAGTACAAGTCTAAGTATAGGAGAGCCATGCTTCGGCACAGATGGGCCGGTTCGACCGAGTATACTATAGTATTATTTGCAGTGTGCTTTGAGTTTAATACCAATATCTACTAATTACACAACGTAAAAGTTCGAGTACCTATTGATTATCATATAAGGATAAACGATTTCAGACTTATAATTTAATTGTAAAAATGGGGGAGAGTCATGTTTCGGCACGAATGGGACGGTTCGACCGAAATGATATCACGGCCTTAGAGAAAACCAATGTGAAGTAGCACTTGCATCGTGTTTCATCGTATGAGTGAGGTCACCGAAGGCCCAATTACCCCCCTCCCTAACCCCCAAATCCCCAACAACCCTCAAATTCCTAATCCCCAAAACGCCGGTAACGTATTAGTAACACCTTTGTGTTCCAGGTATCCATGCTTGATTGCTTACTATCAGGTGATCAGTTATTATCCTTTTTATACAGCTGAGTTCTTCTTATAAATTCAATAATTCCTTTTTGCATGATTGTAAAGCTTAATCGGTAATGTTAATCTGTAGTAACATTAAAAATAGGGACAATTTATGTGTCAAGTAGTAATCTTTGGATCTACATCCGGATCAAAACTCTATAGAAAACGACACATACCTATTATAGTTTAAAAAAAAAATCCACAACAAATTAATGAACGCCGAAGAAGGAAGGCATTTTTATTATATTGTCTATTTTAAATAGTATCATGAACAGATTGAATATTTGCAATTTCATAAATAATTTTATTGTTGTCCTAATAAATTGATTGCATATAAAATATCGGCAAACACATACATGCTACCTTTTTAGTAAAAGTTGTCCTCTCGAGAAAAAGAACAGTTCCAAAACAAAAAATAAAATAAATAGTTCAACAAAATAATACAAAGAGCCAAATGAGGTGAATCGGTGATTGGTTCTAAGATGCTACCAGGGATTTTCAGTAGATACCCGATTTCCATGAGCTATGATGGTGAGCGTGGCCGTGGCCGTGGCCGTGACCGTGGTGCTTGTGATCATGATGATCATCATGGTAGGGGTAGTGGTGTCCATCGTCGTGATGACCATATCCGTAACCATGTTTGCCGTACTTCGAGTGTTCTGCTAAGCGACTCAAGCGCAGGTGCTCGATCAAATGGTCATAGTCAGGGAACTCCTTGTGATCCTTGCTCTTGACATCTTTAGGCAGAATGAGGATCTGACCGCCTGGACCTCGGGTGTAGTCCCTGCCGCCCGTCTTCAGGTATCTGTAGTCAAGTATCCAGGTGGGCTGGTAGTAGTCTGGACTGTACACGTCATGGATGATCCTGAAAGCAATTGTTGAAAACATTTAGTAAAAGTACATTAATATAATGTTTATCGGTTAAAATTTATAATATTGTTATCCATTGTGTTTCAGAAACATAATTAGAAATCATATGAATACAAAAGCATCAACAGAAAAGTATGTTTCTTTAGATTTAACTGTAATATTCAGAAACACTTACTTGTTTTGAAGGCCGATATTTGGTGTACTCTGCAAAACAAAAAGGTATAATTGAGTTTCGTCATAAAAAGTTGATATAATCGAATACTTTATGATAATAATAATAAGCCTCTGATTCTGAACTGTTTCCTACTTTCTTTGTAATTTGGTTGTCTCATTAGTAATAGAATGTCTCTGACTTCAGTTTGCCTCTTGGTAAAGGCCTTCTTTAGCAATTTCCACTGTACTCTGTCTCTAGAAAACCTTTTCCATTTTGGGCCTAATCGAACACCTTATATCATTAATAATTCTTACATGGATTGGGTGTACGTGTGAGGTACGTAGGACCACAGGGACTGAGATGTCATCATCCTTGTAGTCGACTTTCACGGGACCTTTTGGTCCAGGGCTATGATGATGATGATCGTCAAAATGCAAGTGCAAGCGTTCGGCACGGCTTCGGATCAGATCCAAGCCGTCATGGTAATGATCATGATGCTCATCTTCGTGCACTCGGATGGGTTGCGCAGACTCTTCGGGCTTAAGCTCTGGGCTCGGATCTGATTCCTTTGCAACCTCCTCCGCTAGTGTCACTGCTACTAACGCCAGTAGAAGTATCTGGAATATAGATAGTTTTTGACTAGAATACAGAATACTATGGTTTTTTGGCATATTATGTTGGACAATTAATTCACTAAAGTTTTTTTTATGTGATGTATCACATCACGCCTGTTGTTTTCCTAAAGGCAAAGTTGAGGAACAACCACTAATCGCCAATCGTACTCCGCCTCTATAGGTTACAGTATTGAATTTACACAAAGTTCCTCGGTCATTTGATTGCTATGATGATTGTGAACTCCATCCGGGACTGAATCAGGAAATAAAAACAGGAAGATAAGACATTATATCAATATTCTTTGTTTGATTTCATGAGACGTCACGGGTCCGCTACTTACCCAGCAGGCATTGTTCCAACCATGCAGTCTTTCTATAAATCTAAATTAATGAAACTTTTCTTAATTTGTTTTCTGATCCTGGGACAAGTTAATAAAATAAAAAGAACACTTACGAAACGCATGTTGTATGGTGCTCCTCTTGCTAGACGTTCTACAAAACAGATTGCACTTGAACACTGATAGATGCTTGTTAATATCGGTACTTATGTACAAATAATTTACCGGATTCTGAGTCAATAATTATTGTATTTCCTCTCCACTAGTTTAATATACATTTAATAATTAGGGTTACGTATTCTTATAGGTAGAATGGTTTTAGTGTGTACATATTCTGTATCGCCCTCTGTTGAGAAAAAGCCTCTTCTCATACGGAGAAGGAATTACGTTTATATTTGATTATCACTGTTTTATGACTATTTCAGCGAAGGAAGTTAAAGGTAGAAGGTAGGTATAATAGAAAAGTAAATTGGCATGGTTTCATGGAGACCTGGACTTTTTTTATCGGATAAACCGGTAAAGATGGATAACCTGATGGTAAGAAATCGGCGCCACCCATGGACACTTGAAAAACCTGAGGCGTTACAAGTGCGTTACCGGGCTTTTGGTAATTAGGAATTTGCGGAGCGGGCGTCCGGTAAGTTACCGGCGGTAACCTCACTCACACGATGAAACATAACGCAAGCGTTGTTTCACGTCTCGGAAGGCCTAACGGGTTGCCGGGGCTTCGGCTCAAAGAGCAATAGTACTGTAGTAGCACTGAAAATAATACTCAGCTTCTGATAGAACCCATATTAGTTAAGCAGTTCACTCTTGCCAACTTTTTATTAAGAACGTGTTAATTCTGTTATTACGCCCGTGGATCGACGCTATTGGCTGGATTATATTGTACTAAATATTGACTTAGTTGCCTATGTCTTGTTAATTAATGCAATAAATCATAATCAAGTGGTTTCAATTCAATCAATTTTTTTAGTGGTTAGTGCTTAAAGAACCAAAAACTAAACCGAGATTTCGATATTTTTTTTAAGATATTGTCACCTTGACCATTTTGAGTGTTTTGTCGTTTAAGTGGACGTAACTGCCACTGTCGAATCTGAGTTTAGTTTCTGCATTGAAAGTGGATTTTGAGTCGAGCACCCTAAACTAAAACTGTAGTATTAAGTTTTAGTGAAATTAGTGTTTTATCATAGATCTATCAACGTTACTGGTGAAAAGTGGGTTAAGTGCATTATCACCATCCTCATCAATTTGTAAATAAGTGCTATTTTGATTTCTTTGTAGAACTTTCTTGTTCCGGATATTTACAAGCATAGCCCTTTTCGTTACTAGTTGACATAATATAATCTCTAAAAGCCTGCAGTTACAATACATTATATGTATTAATATTTTTTCTTAACTTGCTCATACACATTGCCAAATAACCCCATACGAAGTAGAATTCACAATACGTTGAACCTATACAAAGTTTCTATGATTCGGTCTTGACTTAACGCCTTCTTCATTACGTATTGTTCGTGGCTTTACGCGATTGGCTGTAGCATACTTAATAATATACTGAATACTTTTTAGTAATAAGTAATAAATCAACTAATTTCATTAATTTTACAACAATGATATCTTAATAGACAATTCAATGACGAGTCAATTAACTGATGAGTGTAGGGGATTTATGATCTCGTTTCGTCCGAGTTATGAGTATCTAGTAGATATAAGGGTGAAAACTTACAGTCAATGATTTTCATTAATTTAAAGGAGGTTGCAGTGAATTATTCATAGTTGTGTTGCTGTGAGTCAGTGATGCTGTCGAGGCTCGTCATTGAGACGGTAGAAATGGAACCAGAGATGATAATATTCTCTCATTGTTTAGTACCAACATGGGACAGTGTTATACAATCATGGTGGTCAAGGAACCCGGTGAAACGGTTTGCATTGGTCTCCAAATGGTTGTCTTGAACTCGGAAATAATTTGATTTCACAACGCTCTTTCGCTATTTCTTCTTTTTTAGATTCCCGCTTATTGATACAGACCATGAATTAACGTTTATAGGAGTAGCATCGCTTCAAAAGGAGATTGGAATAAACAGGATATTGGGAGCCTTGCCACCAGCCATGTTGTTGAGTGACAGGCTTGCATTGAACTTTATTAGTAGTAGTTCCTCCGGCTTTTTCTAGTTTCCATAAACTATTCACGGTTGGTGGCATGCAAGTGATATCTAGGCGTTGCATACGCGGGCTATATAAAAATGTCGTGGTGGTAAAAGATGTCGTGGTGGAGGTTTAAGACGCCCGTACCCTCAAGCATGAGGGTGCGGGTTCAAAACCTACCAACAGCAAGTACCAATGTGATCTTTTCCGAGTTATATGTACCTTCTAAGATTATTTAGACACCATTGACAAACGATGAAGGAAAACATTATGAGTAAACCTAAGCTTGAAATATCTAAATTTAAGTTTAAAATTGCCAACCCGCATTGAGCAAGCCTTTGGTCAGCAGTGGGCACTTATAGGCTGTTGATGGTTTGGTTGATGTTGATAAGTGAGCTATTTTCCGTTATTAAATAAATTTATAGCTACGTGTTATTGTTTAATTTACTGACTACATAAGTACTTCGCTGAGTCTGGAAATGTGTCTGAGGTATGATGTGACTAAATTCATCTACTCCTCTCCACTCTACATACCAGTATGCGGTACATTAACGATTTTTAATTATTCATAGCAAACTCATTCTATCTGTATAATTTTAAAATCGTTGTTCAACTACTCTATCCTTTGATAACATACGTATGTACGATGTACATATTAATAAGACTTATATACTAGTTGACAAGGATGATCTGTAACCGTTCCCTCCCGCTACGACGATGCTACGTTATTGCTACGAAACCGCGTAGCATTTGGCAATATAAAGTTAAGTAGTTAGATAACATAGCGTACTTCTTCACTTTGTTCGACAAAAATGTTTGTACATATCCTGTATGTAAGAATTCATTTAGTTTCAAAATAATTTGTGTAAAGGTTCCTATGCAGCAACATTTTAAACTGTAGCTTGATTGATTCATCAATTCATAGGTACCTACTGTGCAATATTAAAGGATGCATCTTTGTTTTACGCCCATATTGCATAATATCCGCTCATTACATAGTTTACTATGTACATCTTACATATTATTAATGTCTTACATTACATATCATTCATGGTCAATGAAGATCTCAATACAAAACTAATTAAGTTTTCAGTTTTTCTACGATTTTCTATAGTATGGGTCAGATTGCCTCTTGGAGAGTGGGTGGTAATTTTATTTGTAAAAATGTACTTATATCCAGGATAATAATATCTTAAGGATCCAGTAGCACTGTTTGCTTAGTCTGTGTATATTAAAAACACATGCCCACCAACATAGTCGTGCAACTGATTGACGTACGTGACTTTGTACGATTTTATAACATTTCGTGTTAATTACTAAGATTATTGCAACGGATGTGTGCATTAAGGTATTAAAAAGGATTACACAATAATAAGCGCTCAATCCTTTTAATAAGGTTAGCATTTGCATAAATTCGATTATAATAATTATTGTTAACAATACATCATTTAAAAATATTCAACATGTACCATTTTTACATCGCCACTGTTCAGTCTTTGTTTAACAATACACAATTTAATTAAATAGTTTAGTTTCGTCGGTCAGTTCTACGCATTTGATTATGTCTGTAGAAACGATCATTGATGCGGGCGGCATACGGCTTTATTAGTTGCGGGTAGCCACGTCGCTGGTCGAACTTACGGCGCTCTTCCAAAAGCTTGCTTTCTTCATGGTCACGGTAGTCCCGAGGGGCAAATCCTTGGAATTCGTTTACTCGTCTGTCGTGAGCATTGGGTTTATATTGATATTCCTTACCATGGTCCCAGCGAGGGCCATATCCCCAACTCATGATTCCGGTACTCTTGCCTCGGCTCTCTTCACCGTCACGTCCCTCTTCTTCTCCACTTTCGCCACTCTCACTACTTTCGCTGCTTTCACTGCTTTCGCTACTTTCGCTACTCTCGCTGCTTTCCTTTTTCTTCTCTTCTTTGCTATCTTTCTTATCCTCTTTTTTGTCCTCTTTATGTTCTTCTTTTGAATGGTCGTGGAAACCGTGATGTTCAACGATGTGATGATGTTTATCCGAGTAGTGGACGACAGCGTTAAAACTAGAAATGTTAAAATTTGGTTAGAAAATCTAGGAAAATACAGAACTATTTAGGTTTTAGATATTTTTTAAAGTCGTAGAATTTTATTATTCAGTTTTATTTTATGACGATAACTATATTAAATATGGAGACAGACTGACCCGCTGTGTTTGTCCGCATGGTATGTGACAGTGCGCTTGCGACCGTCAGGCTCAATCAGCCAGTATTCGCCCTTTACTACATCTCCGTCTCTTGACTCATGTTGTCCTTTTTTGTCATGTGTATGAGGGTCATTCACACTGTATGAGAACTCATATGATGGATACGACCACGCCTGGAACATGAGGTAGAATAAGAATTCGTTAGTATTAAGTCAAACAAAATTAATCGTTGAAATCGTTGAAATATTAATCGTTGAAAAGTTGTGTACAGTATCGAGCGATAGATCTAGTATATTGTAATTTGACAAGAGAGCTAAAGAATCAACTCTTTCAAATAAAAGAGTTTAGTTATGAATTGAGTAGTTTTATTTGTGTATAAAAGTTAATACGTATAAAAATAATACGCATAGGAGTTAAGTAAGAAGAGTAAGTAAAAGTTAAGTATAAGTGTATTGGGCTAATTTGTGCTAGGAAATTGTGGACTCAGTTTTGTAAGGATTTTACAAGAAATAGACGTGACTTTATGTATGAATGCAATATAAACTCACGTATTCTTCATGATGCTCAGGCTTATGAGAACCAATATGTGATAGCTCGCCATGATGTCCGTGATGTTCCTTGTGATGTATCTTTATATGTTGTTCTGAAACCGCGTGATGTCCATCGCCAAGCACACACAGTGCTAGGCTCAGCAGGAATATTGTCTGAAAAATATATTGTTTTATTAAATATAATTCATTTCTTTATTTTACACTTCTTGTACAATATACAATGGTGGACTTAATGCTAAGTGGCTATTTTGACTTGTTCCAAACAATCGTCAAGGTTATACACAAAGGACGATTTTTGGGACAAGACAACATTACGTTAGTTGCTAC